TCCTGGACAATTAAGTACAATAAAAGGTACTGTTACTTATTCAAAAACAGAAGCAGTATCCAACATTTGTAATGGATTTCAATCAGATTTCAAAAAAACATTTGAAGCTGTGGGTAATCTATCACATTTTGGATTAGGTTTCTTTGAAAATGTTAATGTTCCAATATACAAAGGAGGATTCAATATATGTTTTGTTAGATCTGAAGATAATGATGCCATTTTTAGATGGAAAACTAAAAAAGTTGATGGAACTTTTGATGATACTACATTACCAAGTGCTGGAAAAATAATTATTGATGACTTTTTTATTAGAGTTCCAATAATTGAGTATAAAACTACAAGTAAAATTCAATATATTAATGAAATAACTAAAAAAGAAAAAATACTATTTCACTTTAATCATTGGCAATGTATTGAACAAAAGACAATAACTGGAAAAACAGTTAGTTTTGATATAACAAATATTTATCGAAACATCTATAATCCAAAATTTATAATAATTGGTTTTCAAAAAGGTAGAACTAATGATCAATTATATGACACTTCAAAATTTGATAGTATGTATATTAAAAATATTAGAGTAAAATTAAATGGTCACTATTATCCTGATGAATTAATGAATCTAGATATAAATAATGGAAAATTTAGAATTGTATATCAAATGTATCAAGATTATAAAAAGGTTTATTATAACAATAGTGAAATGTATTATGATCCAACAGAATTCATTGAAAATAGACCATTGTATGTGATTGATACAACAAAAACTCCTGTTAATATTTCTGGTTCAAAGAATGATATTATTATAAATATGGATTTTGATTATGATATAACTGTTGCTAGTAAAACTAATTGCTATGTGGTTGTTGTGTCTGAAAGATTATTAGAGTATAATGTGATTAAAAATGATATAACTGAAATCAAATAAAATTATTATAAAACCACCATTTATTTACTACTTTTTGACATATTTTTCAAAATATTATTATATTTTATGAATAATGAGACTACTATTGTTAATTTAAAATTTGTTTCATAAAAAAATATTAATAAATAAAAATTTTTGATTTTCAAGGTCACAAAAAATAAATATTTTAAATTTTATTATTTAATAAATTTGTACTTACCTTATAGATATATCATACCAAATTTCATGAAAATATCTTTAAAAACAAAGAAGTTATTAAGGTTTTTAGTTTAAGGGTAGTTCACCCTAAATTGGAAAATTTTAGTAAAAACATTGATTTTAAACATAATTTTTCATAATTTTTAAGTTTTAGAATTATTCAATAATTTTTTACATTTTTATAAATAAAATACAAAATAAGGGATGAAACTACCCTTAACATAAGTCAAAAACATTCTTTAATATTCAATGAGTGTATGTTTCAAATTTGGTTAAGATTGGTTTAAAAACACTCAAGTTATAACATACAATATATTTCAAATAATTTCATTCGATACTAACAATCGAATAATAAGTTGAAACATTCGATATTAACAGTTAAATTACTGAATAGGAATTCAAAATAACTCACACAAACATAAACAAATAATATTTACTGAACAATTCAGATTTATCAAAGCGTGCATTCAATGCACGCTTTCGTTGAACATCATTTGGTTTGGCAAAAAAAACTGTCAAATAAAACAGCACAGTCACTTAAATTTTTCTACACAAAATATTTACTGTACAATTCAGATTTATCAAAGCGTGCTTTAGAAGCACACTGTCCTTGAATGTCATATGGTTTGGCAAAAAACTATCAAACAAAGCAGCAATCACTTGACCTTGAAAATTCTGATTGTTTTATAAACAAGTTATGATTACAAACAATAAAAATAGTCTATAAATAGTTCAATAAATCACTTTTACTTATTAAAATATTAGTTAAAAACACTTGAACAATCCAAATATGGTGATGAACACTTCAAACACATTTCACTTCACAACACGATAGTTTCACAATTTTCATAGTTAATCTTCTTTATACTTCATCTTCAATCAATAAATAATAAACTTTTACCATCAATAAACTCTTATTTTAAATATTTCTTCATAAAACAAAATGAGAATATACATAGAAAATCAGCCAGTCGACAGAGCCACACCCATTATGATAGCTAATGACGAGATTTTTGCTAACTTGACACTTTTTTTTGTTCAATCGGCTAGTTTCATTAGCTAACTATTTAACCATTGATTATACATTTTAAGCATTAATTATAAAATACTTTTCGATTAGTTTAGATAAATCAAAATAATTATTTTAATCCACACTGCAATTTACTAACATTCAACTGGTTATTATTTTATTCAATCACTTATTTTCATAAAAAGATCGACCAAACAAATTAGGCCATAGACTAATATTCCTTCAATAACATTATATTTACAACGCAATTTGTTTTTGTTGATTTTTACATTATCTTTAATCGTACAGAAATGTATAATATATGAAATAGCATTAATTTTTAACAAGCTTTTCATTGGTGATATTTATTTTCAATTTAAATCAATACTTATCTTTTTATCTTAAGATTATCATTTTGTTAACATTTTTATGATTTCACAATTGAAATATATAAAAAGATATTTTTGATAATTAAACCTTAAATAAACCTTTACAAACTTGTTTTTTTAATCAATTAATCTACTTCAAGATTTTTATGATATAAAAAACTTTAATAATTTTGATAAATTTCATATTTTTTAATAGTTTATTTAATAATTAAACCTTTATAAACTCATTTTTAATCATTTATTAACGCGTCGCGATTTTTGCGACGCGTCAAATATTTAATAAATTCCATAAATTTAATAATTTATTTGATAATTAAACCTTAAATAAACCTTTACAAACTTGTTTTTTTAATCAATTAATCTACTTCAAGATTTTTATGATATAAAAAACTTTAATAATTTTGATAAATTTCATATTTTTTAATAGTTTATTTAATAATTAAACCTTTATAAACTCATTTTTAATCATTTATTAACGCGTCGCAAAAATCGCGACGCGTCAAATATTTAATAAATTCCATAAATTTAATAATTTATTTGATAATTAAACCTTAAATAAACCTTTACAAACTTGTTTTTTATATCATAGAAATCTTGAAGTAGATTAATTGATTAAAAAAACAAGTTTGTAAAGGTTTATTTAAGGTTTAATTATCAAATAAATTATTAAATTTATGGAATTTATTAAATATTTGACGCGTCGCAAAAATCGCGACGCGTTAATAAATGATTAAAAATGAGTTTATAAAGGTTTAATTATTAAATAAACTATTAAAAAATATGAAATTTATCAAAATTATTAAAGTTTTTTATATCATAAAAATCTTGAAGTAGATTAATTGATTAAAAAAACAAGTTTGTAAAGGTTTATTTAAGGTTTAATTATCAAATAAATTATTAAATTTATGGAATTTATTATTTAAAATTCTTTTCATATATTTCAATTATTAACTGTTTAAAATTTTTATAATTATTTTTGTAATAAATGGATCTACTAGAAGAGATTAATAATATTGGAGAATGTAAATTCAAAGAATATAAACCAATAAAAAGTTTAGAATTGAATACAAAATATAAAATAGAAAAATTTGAAAAAGTTAAAGATAAATATGGACCAACAGTTATTGTTGAATTAGAAAAATGTAAAGTTCATTTGCCTCATAGATTTATTAATATATTTGATGAAAAAACAATTAAAGAATTAAATAAAAAAGATTTAAACTTAATTATTACTGAAATTAAAACATTCAAAGATAAAGAAACTGTTTTAGTTAAATTTGTATAAAAACTACTCATTAAATTTTAAAATTTTACTTGTTTTTAAAAACATTTTGTTTTGTACTCAATTTTATGGAAAATATAGACATATTCATGAAAATTTCATCAAAATTATATACTTTTTCTAGAAAAATATAAAAATGTTAGAAATTGGCCTAAAAGAGGCAAAAATTTAACATATTAGTATTGAAAAACAACAAATTTCATTAAATTATTAAAGTCTTCCTTTTTTGGTCTAGGATTGGTACATTACTATCTACTTATATATTTATATATGTATGCGTGTCCGTTAGCGCGATAACTTGAGCATACAAGTTCTGATTTCGATGAAATTTGGTAGCCTACAAACGTGTAATTTGGTACTACGTTTATTTGAACGAGTTCGCGAACCAGCATAATCGGACCATGGGAACGAGGGGTTATGGGGGGTAAAAATGGGGTTTTCCCATTTTTGACCCTAAAAGCATAAAGAAATTCAATTTCTTTTCAAACCGTTTTGTAAAGCTTAAAAAAGAAATAATGTAGTATATTGAAGCGCTGTTGTATACCTAACTGTCATGGAGAAAATTCAAAAATAGTGTTATTTAAAACTCCTATGTTATTCTTATAGAGAAAATGAAAACTGTTGTAGTTTAATTGTTTATGGATATATATTGATAAAATTTGGCAAATTTATTTATTTCATCCTATAGTATTGACGTATAGTCAAAAAACGCTTTTTACCTTCCCCGTAGCAGCAAACCTAAGCACTCGTTAAATCTAATGTTATTTAAATTGGGAATAAATATTGGATGTATTATTTATAGAAATATTTTAGTAAAAATGTAATCAGTCAAGTTGAAATTCGCTTAGTCTGCAGGTTTGCTGTGGTGGGGGTTTCTTTCATGAGTTAACCTTTAGGTTATTTAATGGATTTTCCATAATTACAATGAAATAATGTTATACGTTTCTGCCATACAACTTATTGGGAATGCTCAACTCTTACTATAGAGATCTTTCAGTAAATGAGATTTAAAGCTTCCTATATAACCAATGTTGGGTGAGTAACAGATTTTTTTAGTTCATTCAAAACACCATATTCTTATCTTCTAACGGCCTAAGCAACTATTTAATACTTAATGTTAACGTGAAAAACGAACCTTTCAACCGCATAAAACACAATAATGAAAGGTCTTATAAAACATAAAAAACTAAAAAATTCTACGAGAAAAAGTTTATTTAACATCAATCATATTGCATACATAGTACAATATGATTTAAAATATTGTGCAATATCACTCAGGTAAGGTGTTAGTCTTAGTAGGAGATTTCGTTGGCTGTTGGTGAGATGCGGAGGCAGCCTGTAAACAGATAGAACAGTGTAGGTAGGCGTTTGTTAACAAATTAGGGTACAATAGTGCTATTTAAAAACATATCTGTTCACTAGTTTTGTAATTAATATCATAAACTAGTGCAAAAAGTAAAAAGAAAATAGAACTACAGAACTCAAATCCGCTAGCCGTGGTTAAAACGCAAGGTCTCCCTTTAATGATAACAAAATCTTTAAAGTATATCACATCCCGAAAGCTTACTGACTTTAGAATGTTATATGACAGAATGTAGATAGGAATTATAAATTTCAAAGATTCCTACGTAATAACGGATATTAAAATTTCTGATTATCTTTTACGAAAAAATACATTGTTGTAATATTTTTAAATAAAAACAATTACAAAAACTTGATTGCACGAATTGGGATATTATATGACAAAACCTTTTATTAACCAATCAACAGCATTACAAAAAGACTACAGTGGTAAATCTTATTTAGCCATATAGTTATGAAAATACTCTCATAGTTCAGTCCAACAATCCAAACAATATTGAAATCTGTTACTAGTAAACATAGTTTTCGACTACTGTTTCCAAGCTTGTTACCACTGTTTCTTCTTTATGTTTGAATTGAAATAAAACTGTTCTCGTGCTTACCACTGTAACAATTTTATTGCAATAGTTGTCACTTAGTTCCTTAACAGTAAGATAATTCATATCGTTAAATATGGTTTTAAAATATTTTAGTTTTATTTGTCGTACTCAACAACAACAGAATTAAGATCCACTTTAATCTATATTTTGATCCTTATAGTTTAATCTCGATTGTAAGATTGTTATGATGATTTTTTAATTAAAAACTTAGTTCATTATCCCTATCAGAGTTTATTTATATATAACATCTATTTATAAAATTTTACCTACTCTAAGAGTAGGTTATGAAGCAATTCGTTAAAAGTAAAAAAATTCATAGTTAAATAATACCTTGGAAAAAACTTAAATGGCAAGCCCCTTTTTTATCCCAGAATTTTTATTTTCATTAGCCCACTACCTACCGCAGCAGTGTTAGTGTTAGTATGAGGTTTCGTTGGCTTAGTATTAGTAGGAGGTTTCGTTGCCTTAGTATTAGTAGGTGGTTTCGTTGGCTGTTGGTGAGATGCGGAGGCAGCCTGTAAACAGATAGAACAGTGTAGGTATGCGTTTGTTAACAAATTAGGGCACAATAGTGCTATTTAAGAACATATCTGCCACATATATGTTTACTAGTTTTGTAAATAATATCATAAACTAGTGCAAAAAGTAAAAAGAAAATAGAACTACAGAACTCAAATCCGCTAGCCGTGGTTAAAACGCAAGGTCTCCCTTTAATGATAACAAAATCTATAAAGAAAATAACATCCCGAAATCTTACTGACTTTAGAATGTTATATGACAAAATGTAGATAGGAATTATAAATTTCAAAGATTCCTACGTAATAACGGATATTACAAGTTCTGATTATCTATTACGAAAAAATACATTGTTGTAATAGTTTTAAATAAAAACAAGTACAAAAACTTGATTGCACGAATTCGGATATTATATGACAAAACCTTTTATTAACCAATCCACAGCATTACGAAAAGACTACAGTGGTAAATCTTATTTAGCCATATAGTTATGAAAATACTCTCATAGTTCAATCCAACAATCCAAACAATATTGAAATCTGTTACTAGAAAAAAAATTGTTTTCAACTACTGTTTCCACGCTTGTTACCACTGTTTCTTCTTTATGTTTGAATTGAAATAAAACTGTTCTCGTGCTTACTACTGTAACAATTTTATTGCAATAGTTATCACTCAGTTCCTTAACAGTAAGAGAATTTATATCGTTAAACATGATTTTAAAATATTTTAGTTTTATTTGTCGTACTCAACAACAACAGAATTAAGATCCACTTTAATCTATATTTCGATCCTTATAGTTTAATCTCGATTGTAAGATTGTTATGATGATTTTTATTTTAAAACTTAGTTCATTATCCCTATCAGAGTTTATTTATATAAAACATTTCTTTATAAAATTTTACCTACTTCAAGAGTAGGTTATGAAGCAATTCGTTAAAAGTAAAAAAATTCATAGTTAAATAATACCTTGGAAAAAACTTAAATGGCAAGCCCCTTTTTTATCCCAGAATTTTTATTTTCATTAGCCCACTACCTACCGCAGCAGTGTTAGTGTTAGTATGAGGTTTCGTTGGCTTAGTATTAGTAGGAGGTTTCGTTGCCTTAGTATTAGTAGGTGGTTTCGTTGGCTGTTGGTGAGATGCGGAGGCAGCCTGTAAACAGATAGAACAGTGTAGGTATGCGTTTGTTAACAAATTAGGGCACAATAGTGCTATTTAAGAACATATCTGCCACATATATGTTCACTAGTTTTGTAAATAATATCATAAACTAGTGCAAAAAGTAAAAAGAAAATAGAACTACAGAACTCAAATCCGCTAGCCGTGGTTAAAACGCAAGGTCTCCCTTTAATGATAACAAAATCTATAAAGAAAATAACATCCCGAAATCTTACTGACTTTAGAATGTTATATGACAAAATGTAGATAGGAATTATAAATTTCAAAGATTCCTACGTAATAACGGATATTACAAGTTCTGATTATCTATTACGAAAAAATACATTGTTGTAATAGTTTTAAATAAAAACAAGTACAAAAACTTGATTGCACGAATTCGGATATTATATGACAAAACCTTTTATTAACCAATCCACAGCATTACGAAAAGACTACAGTGGTAAATCTTATTTAGCCATATAGTTATGAAAATACTCTCATAGTTCAATCCAACAATCCAAACAATATTGAAATCTGTTACTAGAAAAAAAATTGTTTTCAACTACTGTTTCCACGCTTGTTACCACTGTTTCTTCTTTATGTTTGAATTGAAATAAAACTGTTCTCGTGCTTACTACTGTAACAATTTTATTGCAATAGTTATCACTCAGTTCCTTAACAGTAAGAGAATTTATATCGTTAAACATGATTTTAAAATATTTTAGTTTTATTTGTCGTACTCAACAACAACAGAATTAAGATCCACTTTAATCTATATTTCGATCCTTATAGTTTAATCTCGATTGTAAGATTGTTATGATGATTTTTATTTTAAAACTTAGTTCATTATCCCTATCAGAGTTTATTTATATAAAACATTTCTTTATAAAATTTTACCTACTTCAAGAGTAGGTTATGAAGCAATTCGTTAAAAGTAAAAAAATTCATAGTTAAATAATACCTTGAAAAAAACTTAAATGGCAAGCCCCTTTTTTATCCCAGAATTTTTATTTTCATTAGCCCACTACCTACCGCAGCAGTGTTAGTGTTAGTGTAAGGTTTCGTTGGCTTAGTATTAGTAGGAGGTTTCGTTGCCTTAGTATTAGTAGGAGGTTTCGTTGGCTGTTGGTGAGATGCGGAGGCAGCCTGTAAACAGATAGAACAGTGTAGGTATGCGTTTGTTAACAAATTAGGGCACAATAGTGCTATTTAAGAACATATATGCCACATATCTGTTCACTAGTTTTGTAAATAATATCATAAACTAGTGCAAAAAGTAAAAAGAAAATAGAACTACAGAACTCAAATCCGCTTGCCGTGGTTAAAACGCAAGGTCTCCCTTTAATGATAACAAAATCTTTAAAGCATATCACATACCGAAAGCTTACTGACTTTAGAATGTTATATGACAAAATAAAGATAGGAATTATAAATTTCAAAGATTTCTACGTAATAACGGATATTACAATTTCTGATTATTTTTAACGAAAAAATACATTGCTGTAATAGTTTGAAATAAAAACAATTACAAAAACTTGATTGCACGAATTCGGATATTATATGACAAAACCTTTCATTAACTAATCAACAGCATTACAAAAAGACTACAGTGGTAAATCTTATTTAGCCATATAGTTATGAAAAAACTCTCATAGTTCAATCCAACAATCCAAACAATATTGAAATCTGTTACTAGTAAACATAGTTATCCACTACTGTTTCCAAGCTTGTTACCACTGTTTCTTCTTTATATTTGTATTAAAATATAACTGTTTTCGTGCTTACCACTGTAACAATTTTATTGCAATAGTTGTCACTTAGTTCCTTAACAGTAAGATAATTCATATCATTAAATATGGTTTTAAAATATTTTAGTTTTATTTGTCGTACTCAACAACAACAGAATTAAAATCCATTTTAATCTATATTTCGATCCTTATAGTTTAATCTCGATTGTAAGATTGTTATGATGATTTTTTATTTTATAACTTAGTTCAATATCCCTATCAGAGTTTATTTATATAAAACATCTCTTTATAAAATTTTACCTACTCTAAGAGTAGGTTATGAAGCAATTCGTTAAAAGTAAAAAAAAATCATAGTTAAATAATACGTTGAAAAAAACTTAAATGGCAAGCCCCTTTTTTATCCCGGATTTTTTATTTTCATTAGCCCACTACCTACCGCAGCAGTGTTAGTGTTAGTATGAGGTTTCGTTGGCTTAGTATTAGTAGGAGGTTTCGTTGCCTTAGTACTAGTAGGAGGTTTCGTTGGCTGTTGGTGTGATGCGGAGGCGATGACCACTAGAATAGTTACTACAACTGCAAACTTCATTGTGAGTGTTAAATCCTAAAAATAAAAATAAAACATCGTTATCAATGCTGATAAAACTGATCTTTTCAGTAGTTGGTTTAGTTTCAGCATAGCCAATATCCACTAACCATTTGCAATGAAAACCCTGGAACTGTCCAGAGTCTGTGTTGAATCTGTGTAGTTTTAAGTAGTTTCATGTATTTGCATTAAATGTAGTACAATTAAATATATTTTTACATAGAAATACAATTGGCAGAGTGCTTTGCATGGAATAACTTTTGTGTAATTGAATGGACGGTACTACTGATGAGGTATACATATCTTTATATAAACATGTTTAATACATTTTAAATATGAAAATAAAACTTAATTAATATTTAATTGACAAACTATGTCACCTATGATACGATAATTAGGAAAATGTATAAATAAATAATTTTAGGAAATTAACTTTTGTGCATTTTAGTGACCTATGTTAATAAATTTGTTGGTAAGTCTTAAGAAAGTGAGAAAATAATTATGCACTAGCATGATCTTACCTGTAGCTGTTGAATTAATGTGCTGAACTAAGTGACTTTCACTATTTATACTCAGTAAGATCGTAAAGGTTTGATGAATTTTTACTTGAAATGGAAAAGGTTATCTTTATTGTATCTTAAGATAATGCCTCTTTATATGCTTGGCTACGATCATTAGTTTTATGACTGTAATAGATATGACACTATTGCACCATTGACCAAAAATATTTTCATTATTATTTATTAACATGTACGTTTTTGACTGTATGAAAATGAAATTAGCATATCCAATTAAATTGAGGTATGAAAAAAATAATTTTGGAATACTAACGTACATGTTTGTTTGATTGTATTTACATATACATCTACTACAATTAATGCTAGTAACTTAAATTCTGAGGTTAATTGAATATGGATCTTAATATCAACTTAATATAATATATATAATACTTCATTTTTATTAACCCTGAATTTTTTTAGTACCAAATATTTACGGAAAGTAAATAAAAGAGGCGTCTTATAACACTTAAAACATATATTTACTCTTATATATTTACTCACAAGACGTTAGTTATTAGTTATTAGTTTATTAGTTGTCATTTATTAGTTAGTTATCAAATATTTAATTATATAATTACTGTAATGTAAAAGCACTTCACAACAACGTTTCCTTTCGTAAAAATAATGCTTGTTAAGATTGTATATTAATTAATTTTTTTGTGACAGAAGTAAAATATCAAATTTGTTCCAGAATAATCTGCAAAACAAATATTTTGAAAGAGAAAAGCTGTTTGCTAAAGAAACACAATCACTCAAGCGCCGTTGATGTACGTAAACTAACACCGTGAAATGTTTACCTAGTTGTAATATAAGATTATGTAATGACTCATTTTTATATTAATGTAAGCTAATGAAATTAAAATTAAAATAAGATAGAGTTATTTGTTTTCAAATAAATAAATAGTAAAGTCTTACCTTAGCAATCCTTGTTATGGTGGTCCGATATTAATTTCAAACCCGTAGGTTCATCATCAGTCGGAAGTTTAGGTAGACCAAATTTTTGTTATAAAATCCACCCGATGGGTTTCGTAGAAATGTTGACATTTAACACGAAGACACACATTACAGTTGACATAAATAATATACGTAGTTTAGGGATAAAAACCATGGTTTTATAAAACAGTGGGATAACCTCACTTCAGTCAGGGAACACGCTGCCGGCAGAACTGTCAAAATTTAGTCAGATTGTGGGATGAGGTTATGTTGACATTTTTTGACTACGGAATGAAAAAACATATGATGGATGTATTTGGATTGATGCGGCTAGGTGTCTGATTGATTATTTGTTCTCAGAAGTGTATCAAAAATTATGTTTGCTGAGAAATTACGTTGGTCATTGAGGACTTCAGACGGGTTGGATTTGGTATTGCTGTATATATGGAATTGTTCGATTATGTCCAGCTTGTTGCTTTTTGGGCCTTTATGTAGGATTTCTAGGTCTTGGTCTATGGTCGAATATGAGTGCATATGATTTATAAGATGCTCAGCGTATGTGGACTGGTTGGTATTGGAATTTCTGGGAAGGTGTTCTTTGTATCGGGTTTTGAAGCTTCGGCCTGTTTGGCCAATATAATACTTAGGGCAAGTGGCACACTTGAGTTTATATATCCCCGAAGCTTCATAATAGTTTACTCTGCTATGCTTTGGTTTTGTTGAGGATCTGGGTTAGGCTGTTTTTTGATCTGTAGGAAATTCGGTAACCTTTGTTACTTATGATGTTATGGATGGAATTGTTAATTCGGCCGTGGTATGTCATCACAACAAATTGGTTCTGGAGTTTAGGCCGGTATATTTTGTTTTGTTTGTTCTTATGTCGCCATATGAGTTTGTTTATTATATTGGGATTGTATCCATTATTATAGGCTATTTGTTTTATTACGTTAAGTTCAGAATTGTAGTCTTCTTTTGATAAAGGAACGTTGATTAGTCTGTTTATTATGCTGTGAAAGGCTGCGTATTTGTGGGCTATGGGGTGGTTGGATGATTGATGAATAACTTGGTCGGTAGATGTAGGTTTTCTGAATATTTTAAACGTATGTTTGCCATCTTTTCTGGTTATGGTTATGGATGAGGTTATACGAAGGTCGATAGTGCTCACATATTCTCCCAGCTTTCTCCACATCCTTAGCTTTTCCCCACAAACCTCACTCTCTGCTGTATGGTTTGATACATACTGATTTAATTCCCTGTAATCCATTACAGGTCGCACTTTGTCCTTGTTATGTTGAAAGACCACCATTAAAGGAATTAAGCCATCAAACTCCCCGTCATAAGGCTGGAGCCAACCGTCTCTTATCCAATCATGCACTTCAGCGTCAAACCCCTCCCTTGCCTCTTTTGAAATTGAGTATGAAGGTACTTGGTTATTTATCTTACGTGCTTTACCGCTATCTTTCCAATTCCATTCAACAGTCCATTTTCCATCAACAAATTTCGCATTGAAGTCACAATCATTAATAGCGATCTCATCGTTGCCATTCTCCGAGGTTTCCTTCACGCACAACTCCTTCTTGGCCTCAGCCATCGCTCCGATACCAACGTCCCTAAACGTAACAGTGCCATCTCCATCAATATTGACACCTCCCATTGCAGTCACTGCATCCATCCCTAGAAGCATCTGATACCTTGGCAATACACTGGCAACCAAACAACTTAGTGTGAGCGGAACACCTCTTATCAAAACTTGTAACATACATGTCATGTTACACTCAACATTTCCCCATTCATCATTATAATCCTTTGACTGACTGGCTTCCGTTCTACTCCATATTTCACTAAAGTAGGTGACACAATGCTCCTTGAACAACCTGAGTCCAGCAAGGCACAGCATTTAAAACCCGACACACTTATTGTTAATGCGCTGAGTTGCGCTGAAGAAATTGGGCCACCCGCTCAACATAAGGCAGCCCCATTCACTCGTTTTTTGGAATTTGTGAACATTTTGAGGCATAATGTCCTACCTCCCCGCACCGGTAACAGGTTACTTTTGACTCACGATTTGGATAGGGACATGAACGTGCTACGTGGCCTTCCCTGTCACAAACAAAGCATTTTTTAGGCCACTGTTTACCAACTTTGAAAACTTCGGAATTAGCCTGTGCAACCGCCCCAAAGTTTGACTCACTGTCCAATAGATTCCTAGCTCTTGTCATTACATCCGACAACTCAATGCTTTGAAGAGAACACGTAGCTTTCAACTGGGTTTGAGTATCTTCTGGCAAGCCATGTACAACTGCGCTCTTAATCCATTCCTCAGATACAAAAGGGTCCACCTATTTGGCCAGTCTCTTCAATTCAGAAGCATATACATCTAGTGACTCACCGGGGAGTAGACGCCTAGCTGTAAATTCTGCATAAGCCTGAAAACAGTTCGCAGAAAAGGCCTGCAGCAATGCATTGGTGAGAGCCTCATAGTTACTCTTGACATTTTCTGTAAGCCCGTCATGTACAGAAAATGCTCCTCCAGCCAAAAATAGGGGGAGAACTGTCTGCAAGTCTTTTACCTTTTGGAGCTTACATACCAATTCTAGTTTCAATAACCACTCACTAAAATCACCACTTCCATCATACTGCTTAATCAAGTCTGAGAACTTAACACCAGTACCTGATATAATGCCGAAATAGCTTGTAATGAATTTAATAATTAATTTTAATAATTTATTTTTAATACACACCTTATAAACTTGATTTGTAGGACAAGAAAAAAGGTCTTTTCATCAAGCCATAACTTATTGAATAAACTTTATTTGTAAATTTGAAAAACGGAGAACTATAGAATGGTATTTGAACTACTGGAAGCCGTTTACAGTGAGTAGCTATCATTATTGGTTAATTCGAAAACAGTAATCTTGGAAACCTCTGCAAGCGCTTCTCGCGGCACTGTCCAATGGTGCAACATAGCAACTGAAGCCCGAGCTGAGATTTTCGAGCTGAGGTACCTGACATAATGCCGAAATAGCTTGTAATTAATTGAACATGCAAATTGAAGACAAATAATTAAAGATATTTAATTATTTAACAAACTAACATTCACTACACATCAGAACAATAAAACTCTAGTAAAAACTAGCAAATATTATTTTCTCCATGACAACAAGAATCAATAAAAATCATCCAAAGATAAACAAGTAAAAATGTCCACAATATCAAACAGCTGATAACTAATTTATATCACAAGCACAATAAACATGACTTTAAAAAACTAACCTGTAAAGTGACATTAAAGTTTATTCAAACCTTAACAATCAAAGGATTGTGGATGGCGTCCAATTTAATGTAGGAACGTAAATAATATAAAATGTACAATTAATACATTGTGCAATATTTATTGTTCATAAACTACAATAATAATAGGTTTAGTAGCTTCCATAGTAGGTCCAGTAATGTAAAACTAAATCAACTGTTATTAAACGTTGCCAGTAAAATATACTGTCAAGTATCTTGCCGCGGCAGCACGTGTAATTGAGAATATTAGGCATGTAAAATTTTTTTTTGTTTAACTATTAAACATATTCGTAAAGGGCAAATTTATGAAACAAACCAGTAAAAACTGAAAAAAACACTTACGAAACACTGGATATTATTTGGATGGTGATAGATAGTGATCTAATTCAAAACTGAACAAAATACTAGTGACGTGGGAGAAAAATTTTGTAATTTTTCATATCAGCAATTTTGAGTTCTCAAGCTGACGCAACCTTTCAGTTTCTCTATTAACATAAATTCATTTTTCTTTCTCAGAGCAATATAAGTGTACTATGTAACGTCTATATGTTTAAATCACCAATACAAATCTTAATCATGGGTGGATGGTTATGTGGATGGATCTTCATCTTTGTCATGGGTGGTCAATTCAACAGTGCTGACAAAAGTCTAAACAGACACTTATTATTGCACTCGTCATCATAACATTGTACACTTTCAATATTTTTGGCTGATTTAAAAAACATTCTTGATGAAAACATAAATACAAATTTATGTTGGTAAAAACATAAATTGAATATGTAAAGAAACCAAAGTGTAAATTTTCAAACAAATGCTCAATATTATTCAAATTTCTATTTCACAGAAATCCTAAAAGGGTTATAAATAAGAAATGTCTTAACGTATTTAATATATTAAAAATGACTTTAAAAATTAAACTATGTTAGAGCTGAGAGGTCATTTATCAATCATTATCTTTGCATTACACTTCTGGAGACTTGATAAACTATTTAACGGAGCCACTCCTTGTGGGACAAATGAATCTACCTTTAACTATGTACGAAAACTGGAAGATTTTCATATAAAAATAAAATAGCCCTTATTTTTATGAGACTTTTTAATACTGAGCTTGTAATATAATGTGTAGTATTCATTGCAATAAATGCTCTAATTTCTTTGGAATTAAAATAACTAGCAAACCTTGTTTGTGGTAAAATAGTTAACAGTTGCGCAAAAAAAACTAAAAGAAACCTTGTTCTATTCAATGCCTTGTTGTATTGTGCCTATCGTATTCAATGTTTTTTTTTTTTTAATAAACTGTAAAATAAAAATATATTTTACTACATTCTATGTAAGTTCATTTACGTGCTGAGGTGAAATGAAAGGAAGGTGGCCTGACTGTCTCCTAATTATTGAACAGTCAGATCGAGATGGTTTTGAAAGTATATCGATTAAGTTTTAATTCCCTGATATAAGCGTTACAAAGTTTGTATACAAAGAATTTACTGACGAAGAATGTAACGTTTAATTGTATGAAGTAGCGATTCACGAAGTCAATCACACTTGAAATTGTATTCTACAAAGTTTTGAGACGAACATCTCCAATTACATGCTTGAACTTTCCATTCTTGTAAAATGCAATTACAACTTAAGAAAACTCCTGTTTGGAACTGTTTTAAATATATTGAGCGGGTTTAATAATTGTTATTACAACATCTACTCATATATTCTTTCGGTCCTAAGTTTTCCTACATTTCAAACTCGTATGTCCTAGAGATTCTTAGAAGACATAGATTGTAGTAGTAGGTCATCATTATAATTAAAATTAATATCTTGGTTTTAACTAAACCTTTTAAACAATAAAAGGAATAATTTTTGTACTATCCCGAGGTAGTGTATTTTAAAACAGGTTTCTGGCTACACATCTATCGTTTTATGCGATCTTAAAATATAATTATGGTGCCAACTTTATAATAATCAACAAAACGTGTTACGCTTTGTTGATTATCATCGCATTTAATCATAATTATATAATTCATTAAATTGTAAAAAGAAATGTAACAGAAAAAACCTCCCTGCCCTCAGTATAGATGCTACGATTATGAAAATACCATAAATGGACGTTAAGTATTTGTTAGCACTCTTTTCATAAGATAATACATACAAAAAAAACGCTTAGACACAAACTATTACATTGTATCGTTTTGACAAACTATGTTTTGACACAGAAACAATCACTTACTTAAGAAGCAAAGAACATTCCATTACTTAATTGGACAACCACAAGAACTTTGAAGATAGACGAGCTCGAAAATGATTTATTTTCTTACCTTCGGAAGTCAGTAAAAATAATATCTATTTCACCCAATCAAACTATTCCTCTGTTAAGTGCATTATTTAATTTATTATTGTAGAAAACTGCATTTTAAAATACATGTAATACTTGATGAATTGTATAAATGACTAGTAAACCAGTTGAAGTATGTATTGTATAACATTGTAGGCTGCATATTTAATATGGTTCGACGTTTACAACAATTTCTTATTTTATATGTAAAACAATAGACAAACGCACCACCAAAGGGAATGATCCATAACTAACCGCTAAATTAAGTGCTCAAGGGTAAACTATAAGGGGGTAACTACTGATTACGGCTTTAGCTTTGAGAAACGGGTTGAAAATATTCTCAAACTATAAAAATAAACATGCACTTTATTGGCAATGTTTAATTTTGAAATATCTATTATTGATTGCACTATGTACTGTACGATCATATAATAATCTGTAAAGAAGCTTCTACCTTATGTAATCTTTCATGAACAATGTGAATTAGAGTTTTGGGTAGGTGTTTGTTGAAGTCTGACACAAATAATATTAAAACTAATAAATCTCTTTTCTATATTACATTTCTTTCCTACACACCAGAATATACAATACATTCACTAGTAATTTCTATTTGATAAAACACAGTAGTGGATACACCTATTCAAGGAAGTAAATATATTCACGAGTTTGTATTCGTTCAACACATGACACATATGCATTTCTATATACATTTAAAATGTGCAAATCAAATTTACAGTATAAATTAATATCATATTCAGGTCACTTGGTCCTGTTCATGTAGACTCGACAGTATATTGTTGTCTATTGCTTTCAGACCGGTGAAGCAGGAAAGTAGAGATGGCTTAGTTTTGCATTCATTGATGAAACGTGCCGTGACACTTTGGGGTCAGAGTGTTACGACTTTTTCTTAAAACGAGATTAAATTTGCACAAAATTTTAAGGGTTTCATTATACAAGGGTCACAAAACCGTGTATTTTTGTTTTGAATATTTTTTTGTTTTTCTATGAAGACTTCGATAAAACATATTTTCAAAAGGCTGGAATGATCAGAGAAAGCAGAGATTGATACTCAGTTTTATTGAAAAAAAAATTTTAAAGAGGAAGCAATCTCATGTTTACCATTTGAAAGAATCTACGTATTACGCGCAATGTTTAATGTCCTAGTCATGGATCAAGGTATTAGAAGCAGCCAGAAAGGCTTCGCAAGTCGGAGAGTTCTGTGGTGACTAATCTACTGTTGCTCTATGTCCATTATCGTCTATCAAGATTATTGCGGTGTTAAAACGCCAATCTGACAATGTAACTAAAGTGATTATTTTGTTCTGTAGCAAAAATCGTTTAATTTGAAATTAACTTACTCTTTTAACATCTCATGATTTAATCTCTTCAATTGTAACTTCTGACTTACCTGTGATCGTAAAACACAAACTACAATCAGGGTGATTCTAAATTATGTTTACACTTCTGAAACTCTATAAATGAAAAACAATACAACCTTTAATCACAGTGTGAGAATCAATTGAAAGAGGAGATTCTAAAGTACTGTTTGACACCACTTTGGTAAATGTAGTAGCAAAATTAGCCTCTACAGACATTTTTAGGTTTTAACTACGATTTTAAATTAATTACACAACTTTACCCACTACACACTTTACACACTTTTACCTCTCTAAATCTAAAAAATCCATGCTATATTCAAAAACGTCTGTAGAAAGTGGTTTTGCAAACATAAATATTATATTGTAACATAAAATATGATGATATTTCTGTGTTGTGATGGGGTATTTTATATCATTGAACAAAATTGGATAAAATAATACATATAACAACGAGAAGCATATTAAATATCTGATAACACATTATTACGGGTATTAACAAACGTTATAGGAGAAAACACACAAAATAACAGAGATTTTAATGTTAACGATGAATGAATGACATGCAATATTACATAATTAGTAATAAAATCGTGAACGAAACGTCGGCTTTGCTAGGAAATAATGTTTGCATAAGCAAGATCTTAACAAAATAAAAGTTAATGTATATCAGAATCTGTCGAAGATGCCAACATGGTTTAATTGCGACATAAGCTCACATACAGTTGCTCTATGATTGGATGGAATATGTGGCAAGGTTATTTTGTCACAAAGAAAACAGGTAAACACCTTGGAGATATTTCACCGTCATCTTTTTTTACGACTATAGTGCTCAGTGCTTCTTTGAACTCAGGAGTTTCTGCTATTTCATCACCCATTTGGTCAAATTCTTCAGCTCCAATATGCTTGTAGTCCTTGTGGAAATCTTCCAGCAACTTCATAGAATTTTCCTTCAACACTGTTTTAAGCAATTCTCTAGAAGTCTGAAAAAGATAGAAAGTAATGAAGATCAACAATAGAATAAAAAAATAGATACGTATAATAATTTGTCTTGGAAATGAACTCTTTATTTAGTTCTTATGTGAAGGCCATCTAAAAGCATCAGAAAAAGATCATATAATGTTGCAATAAAATATAATTTGTTGTTATGGTTAGTCCTTCATTTTTGTATAACAGAAATATGATGAGTTATAGTTGTAAAATACAATGTGTACAAAGAATTTTATTTAATATCATCACAGTTTACTTAGCGTTTTCTAAATTATGATTTATATTTAAGTTTCGCAAAAATATTAATCATAGCCTCCCATTAATATAAGCCCGTGGCTTTGGTGCGTGGCAACTTCACATCGGCCACTCTGTTTCCATCGTAATAAGAAAAGTGTAAACATAAACGTTGCGCATATAATCCATGATTCAAAAATCTACTTTTTGTCCCGCCTTTTTCCCTCCATTTGGCAATACAATTCCAATAGGACCGGCTATGTTCCAAGCAGTGCTGCTATCTGTGAGTGTTTAGCGAACTACGTCGACTCTCGTCTTAAAGCAGGACATCCTCGCACGTTATTTGCTATTCGTCAGACCGAAATTGGAAAGCCAGTCACACGCGGCAAACGGGTTTGTTTGACGCTGCGGGCTGCGCCGCACTGGGGATACGCCCGCCATTTGACGTGCCGCCGCGAACGTGTTTTAAGAACATATCTGCCACAAATCTGTTCACTAGTTTTGTAAATAATATCATAAACTAGTGCAAAAAGTAAAAAGAAAATAGAACTAAAAAACTCAAATCCGCTAGCCGTGGTTAAAACGCAAGGTCTCCCTTTAATGATAACAAAATCTTTAAAACATATCACATCCCAAAAGCTTACTGACATTAGAATGTTATATGACAAAATGTAGATAGGAATTATAAATTTCAAAGATTCCTACGTAATAACGGATATTAAAATTTCTGATTATCTTTTGCGAAAAAATAAATTGTTGTAATAAATTTAAATAAAAAAAATACAAAAATGTGATTGCACGAATTCGGATATTATATGACAAAAACTTTTATTAACCAATCAACAGCATTACAAAAAGACCAGAGTGGTTAATCTTATTTAGCCATATAGTTATGAAAATACTCTCATAGTTCAGTCCAACAATCCAAACAATATTGAAATCTGTTACTAGTAAACATAGTTTTCGACTACGGTTTTTAAGCTTGTTACCACTGTTTCTTCTTTATGTTTGAATTGAAATGAAACTGTTCTCGTGCTTACCACTGTAACAATCTTATTGCAATAGTTGTCACTTAGTTCCTTAACAGTAAGATCATTCATATCGTTAAATATGGTTTTAAAATATTTTAGTTTTATTTGTCGTACTCAACAACAACAGAATTAAGATCCACTTTAATCTATATTTTGATCCTTATAGTTTAATCTCGATTGTAAGATTGTAATGATGATTTTTTATTTTAAAACTTAGTTCATTATCCCTATCAGAGTTTATTTATATAAAACAACTCTTTATACAATTTTACCTACTCTAAGAGTAGGTTATAAAGCAATTCGTTAAAAGTAAAAAAAAATCATAGTTAAATAATACATCGGAAAAAACTTTAATGGCAAGCCCCTTTTTTATCCCAGAATTTTTATTTTCATTAGCCCACTACCTACCACAGCAGTGTTAGTCTTAGTAGGAGGTTTCGTTGGCTGTTGGTGAGATGCGGAGGCAGCCTGTAAACAGATAGAACAGTGTAGGTAGGCGTTTGTTAACAAATTAGAGTACAATAGTGCTATTTAAGAACATATCTGCCACAAATCTGTTCACTAGTTTTGTAAATAATATCATAAACTAGTGCAAAAAGTAAAAAGAAAATAGAACTAAAAAACTCAAATCCGCTAGCCGTGGTTAAAACGCAAGGTCTCCCTTTAATGATAACAAAATCTTTAAAACATATCACATCCCGAAAGCTTACTGACATTAGAATGTTATATGACAAAATGTAGATAGGAATTATAAATTTCAAAGATTCCTACGTAATAACGGATATTAAAATTTATGATTATCTTTTACGAAAAAATACATTGTTGTAATAGTTTTAAATGAAAACAATTACAAAAACGTGATTGCACGAATTCGGATATTGTATGACAAAACCTTTTATTAACCAATCAACGGCATTACAAAAAGGCCACAGTGGTAAATCTTATATAGCCATATAGTTATGAAAATACTCTCATAGTTCAGTCCAACAATCCAAACAATATTGAAATCTGTTACTAGTAAACATAGTTTTCGACTACTGTTTCCAAGCTTGTTACCACTGTTTCTTCTTTATGTTTGAATTGAAATAAAACTGTTCTCGTGCTAACCACTGTAACAATTTTATTGCAATAGTTGTCACTTAGTTCCTTAACAGTAAGATAATTCATATAGTTGAATATGGTTTTAAAATATTTTAGTTTTATTTGTCGTACTCAACAACAAATGAATTAAGATCCACTTTAATCTATATTTTGATCCTTATAGTTTAATCTCGATTGTAAGATTGTTATGATGATTTTTTATTTTAAAACTTAGTTCATTATTACTATCAGAGTTTATTTATATAAAACAACTCTTTATACAATTTTACCTACTCTAAGAGTAGGTTATGAAGCAATTCGTTAAAAGTAAAAAAATTCATAGTTAAATAATATCTTGAAAAAAACTTTAATGGCAAGCCCCTTTTTTATCCCAGAATTTTTATTTTCATTAGCCCACTACCTACCACAGCAGTGTTAGTCTTAGTAGGAGGTTTCGTTGGCTCAGTATTAGTAGGAGGTTTCGTTGGCTTAGTATTAGTAGGAGGTTTCGTTGGCTGTTGGTGTGATGCAGAGGCGATGACCACTAGAATAGTTACTACAGCTGCAAACTTCATTGTGAGTGTTAAATCCTAAAAATAAAAATAAAACATCGTTATCAATGCTGATAAAACTGATCTTTTCAGTAGTTGGTTTAGTTTCAGCATAGCCAATATCCACTAACCATTTGCAATGAAAACCCTGGAACTGTCCAGAGTCTGTGTTGAATCTGTGAAGTTTTAAGTAGTTTCACGTATTTGCATTAAATGTAGTTCAATTAAATATATTTTTACATAGAAATACAATTGGCACGAGTGCTTTGCATGGAATATTTTTTGTGTAATTGAAAGGACGGTACTACTGATGAGGTATACATATATTTATATAAAAATGTTTAATGCATTTTAAATATAAAAATAAAATTTAATTAATATTTAATTAACAAACTATGTCACCTATGATACGATAATTAGGAAAATGTATAAATAAATAATTTTAGGAAATTAACACCAACTGTTGTGCATTTTAGTGACTTGTTAATAAATTTGTTGGTAAGTCTTAAGAAAGTGGACTAAAGAAAATAATTATGCACTAGCATGATCTTACCTGTAGCTGTTGAATTAATGTGCTGAACTAAGTGACTTTCACTATTTATACTCAGTAAGATCGTAAAAGTTTGATGAATTTTTACTTGAAATGGAAAAGGTTATCTTTATTGTATCTTATGATAATGCCTCTTTATATGCTTGGCTACGATCATTAGTTTTATGACTGTAATAGATATGACATTATTGCACCATTGACCAAAAATATTTTTCATTATTATTTATTAACATGTACGTTTTTGACTGTATGAAATTAGCATATCTAATTAAATTGAGGTATGAAAAAAAGAATTTTGGAATACTAACGTACATGTTTGTTTGATTGTATTTACATATACATCTACTACAATTAATGCTAGTAACTTAAATTCTGAGGTTACTTGAATATGGATCTTAATATCAACTTAATATAATATATATTACACTTCATTTTTATTAACCCTGAATTGTTTTAGTATCAAATATTTACGGAAAGTAAATAAAAGAGGCGTCTTATAACACTTAAAACATATATTTACGCTTATATTGTTACTCACAAGACGTATTAGTATTAGTTATCAGTTTATTAGTTGTCAGTTATTAGTTAGTTATCAAATATTTAATTATATAATTACTGTAATGTAAAAGCACTTCACAACAACGTTTCCTTTCGTGAAAATAATACTTGTTAAGATTGTACATTAATTAATTTTTTTGTGACAGAAGTTAAATATCAAATTTGTTCCAGAATAATCTGCAAAACAAATATTTTGAAAGAGAAAAGCTGTTTGCTAATGTAAACACAATCACTCAAGCGCCGTTGATGTCCGTAAACTAACACCGTGAAATGTTTACCTAGTTGTAATATAAGATTATGTAATGACTCATTTTTATATTGGTGTAAGCTAATGAAATTAGAATTAAAATAAGATAGAGTTATTTGTTTTATCATCGGAAAATTAATTAATTTAAACTCAATGGCAAATTTACGCATTTCAGCTTAGTCTTCTAGAATTTTATTGGGATCCATAAGGTAATCGTGGTATTAATTTTTAATACTAAACCAACTAAATAGCATGGCTACTTGTGAACATAAAATCTTAAGTTATAATACATTTAAAAACTTAAAAAAATGGTAGTTTGTTTTAATATTTTGTACAAAGAAACCCTTTATACAAATTTCCTCAGACTATCTTGACTTGCGCTAATTTAGGTTACATATTTATAAGAACAAAAGAAATCCGTTATCGTTATGTAACTGTGAGAAGATGATAGGTCATTAACCAAAACACCTAGTGCATTTTGTCTCATTAACAGGAAAGGATTAAACATATGAAGTACCTGTAGCTCTAAACTCAAATAAGAATCCTTATATATAATACGTGAAGGTGATTTCTACAAAACACTACACCTCCGTTAATAAAGGACGGATTTTTACAAACGACGTGTCAAAATAAAGTATTTTTTGTGTAGACGCCCCCTTTCACCAATTCCTGTAATAAATATCCTCGGGCTTTGCCCCACAGGCCATCAAAGTTGGAGTTTCTCCCATAAGATTAACATGGGGAAATCTAAATATTTAATTGTAAACTTTGTCCCCACTAATTTAAGAGAACGGCTGGGCGTAGAAACTTGGTAGAGGTGTCCAAAGAAAGGTCTTGGTCTGTAGATGAGTTATCAAAAGAATAACTAAGCAAAATCCCTTAGGGCTCTGCCCCAGAAGCCTTTAAAGATCCCTCCACAGATTTGTTTACATTTTGGCCATGTGGATAGTACTTTTTTAATAAAATAGCTGTTAATTCTTAGATTGTATTTTAAACAACACAAGTTTATTGGGAGTTATTGAATTGTCCAAAAGAAGTTTTTGCAATGTTATTTACTGATTTTAAAATTGATTTTCTTCTTTATCATGTCATGTTTTGCAATATAACGTTCCATTATGAAATCGGTGGAAAATCCTTTTATCACAGCAACTCTTAAATTATTTCTTATTGAACTATATCTTATATCCATTGTACGGGTCGGTGTCTGCCTTTTTCACCATTTTGCTTACATTTTATCATATTATTCTACACTTATCAAATATTTATGTAGAAATATCTGCTCTTATCGTGTCTAATAAAATCCAAACATAGAAACCTTGCCTAAAATGGTACCCAACTTGAAAAATTATTTGCATTTATATTAGGGACTTTTGCACACTGGGTTGGTAACATTATTGAAAATAACACAACATTTTGGCTGTAAAATATGGTACAAAGAGAAAATACTATTTAAGCAGCTACTGTCATGACAGAAAGGTCATATTCCTTTTAAACTAAATCACATAATCCTTTATAAGATACGTTGATTAACGATATGTAACCGTCAATATATACGTTACAGCCAATTTACAGTATTTTTGCTTTTTGGAAATGTCCCATTGCTATGTCATTTGAATTATTTGTTGCCAATGAAGCCACCAAGACCATATGAACTAGGAGGCCCCTAACAGCTCAAGAATAAAAGTCATCTTCACTTCAAAATTCCACTACACGTAACATTCCGTAGAGAGATTATATTGACAACTTTATGTTATCGATAAGGCTGAGACATCTAACTGACATCCCCCATGTCAAGGAATTCGAGCTTTAACAGTAACCCCACAATCAATTTCTCAAAACTATGCTTGAGGGTTCATTCATTGGCAAAGAAGTACGATATGAACTGACGCGATGTGACGAAGGAAAAATTAAACTTACACTGTAACGGATATACCTCCCTTTGAAGTTAGAATATGTCTTCCCAACAAACAGATTTTCTTTTCAAATAAAATCATATTAGACTGATGAAATCACGGAAGTGTTTAACTACAAAAGATTCACCAATACGATTTTAATACTATTTAAAGGTTCTTCGAAAGGAAGAGATACCATATAACATACTAATAATAACTCCGATGACGTTCACTGTAGGAAAAATTTCATCAACCAAATTTGGCAACTTACGCAATTAATATCATTATTGTTTTTACACTTATTACTCTTTAAACGGGTTAAACGTTTACTCTTTCACCAATTCATGTAATAAAAACTCTCGGGCTTTGCCCCACAGTAATTTATAGTCCACAACACAATTAAATATAACAATATTAAATATAAATTATAAGGTTATATAAAATTGGGTGAAATATACATATTTTGAGCATTTAGCATTGTTTAAAGAGTAATAAGTGTAAAAACAATAATGATATTAGTAGTGGTGAACCCAGAAAGATACCCCACTTTAGACACGTTTTTCCCATGTTATTCTTATGGGGATTATTTTTGGCCACCAAATCTAAAATCCTGATCTTTGCCCAAATATCCCTATAAAAATTGTCAAACCTTATTTCTTAGTTATTCCCCATAAATATATTCGATATTAAGCAAAAATAAAAAAAAAACTAATTATTTCATTTATTGACCCATGTATGTGTATATGTATAGTAGTATAGGTTGTCGGTGCCGTTTTTTGGGGGTCGACATTTTTGGGCCAACTCCCCCTCCCCCCTCACCCCTCCCCCCTCACCACTCCCCTCTGCCCCATGCACAATTGCTAGTACATCTACCATTCCCCTTTCCAGTTGATATATTATATTTCTATTTCAAAATCTTGTATGTGCGTGGTTTGCACACGAACTCGGCTCATGGCGTGGGCGCGCTCCCGGTCGCGGGCATGTTCCTGACCCATGGTTGTTTCTTGCCTCTAGTGGTGACGTGGTGAAAACGTCACTCCCTTGGGCTTGCTCCTTGCTAGTCTTGGATCTGTTGAAGTAATTTTTAAAAAAATTTTAATTTCTAGCTGAAAATTTTTAAAATTTCCAAAATTTTGAAATTTTCGAAAAGTCTATAAATAGAAGTGACACAAATTTTTTTTGTTATATATAAAAATGAGGCCCACCTGTCAACACTGCTCCGTGTCGCTCTCCACCAAAAGTAACCTGATTCGCCACTATAAGGTAATTCATCAAATGAATGTATGTAAAGTTTGTAATTTAATCTGTGATAGTAACATTGCTCTAAAATCACATATATTACAAAGTCACAAGAGTTGTAGTTTTTGTACGAAAACTATTGTTGGACATTTTAGAAGACATGTCAATTCTTGCAACAAGTGTCCATATACAATGATTAAATTTGTGGGTGAATCGATTAGAGCTGAACTTGAAAATAATCTCAAGTCTTGTCCTCTGCCGATAAAATGGACTTTAGTTAGGAGAATCAAATTTATAAAATATTCAATGGATCAAAATGGTAAATTAGTTAATGAAAAAGAATGTATAGCAGATTTTAGAAGTCTTACTACCTTAACTATTGAGAAGAGAGATTTAAAGCCTCAAATTGAAAATGCACTTTTAAAGATTGACGCTTCCATACACAAATATCAAACCCAAGGCAGTGGATGGATATATGACCATACTAAATATTGGCAATTGCACGTTTACAAGAATAAACCCCTAACTCCAAAATCATATATCCCCACACCAAAAAGTATTCAATCAAAACATGCTGTTTTAAATATAAAGAATTATGATAATAAATGCTTTCTTTGGTCGATTTTAGCAGCTTTACATCCAAGGAACTCTAATGAACATGCTGAAAGGGTTTCTAATTATGTACCCTATGAAAGTCAGTTAAATATGGCAAATATAATATATCCAGTAAAAATATCTGATATAGATAAATTTGAAACACAGAATAATATAAGTGTTAATGTATTTGGGGTTGAATATGATAAATTTATACATCCATTAAGAACAACTAAACTAAATTCTAGTAATACTCATGTAGATTTATTATTATTGCAAGAAGGCCGTAAATCACATTACTGTTTAATTCGTGATTTTGATAGGTTAATGCTACGGTCTACAAAAGATAACAATAAGAAGTATTTTTGCAAGTTGTGTTTGCAACATTTTTACACTAATGATATATTAGAACGTCACACAACATATTGTAAAAACTTTGATGCTCAACGAGTGGAAATGTCTAAACAAGATACAATACAATTTAAAAATT